ACTGTCCTATCACGTGAATGAGAACTTCTCTCGTTTTTGTGATAATTATTATCTTTGTCATATATTTATATTACCCTCATTTGAATAACCCCGACAAAAGAAATATGGTCCTATCACGCGAATGAGAACTTCTATCGTTTTTGTGATTATTATTATCCTTGTCATAAACTCAAACCAAAAAATACTGTCCTACCACGTGAATGAGAACTTCTCTCGCTTTTGTAATAATTATTATCTTTGTCATAACCCTCATTTACATAACTCCGACAAAAGAAATATGGTTCTATCACGCGAATGAGAACTTATATCGTCTGTGTGATTATTATTATTGTTGTCATAACCCACCCAAAAACTACTGTCCTATCACGTGAATGAGAGCTTCTCTCGTTTTTGTGATAATTATTAACTTTGTCATATATTTATATCTCCCTCATTTTGAATAACCCCGACAAAAGAAATATGGTCCTATCACGCAAATGACAACTTCTATCGTTTTTGTGATTATTATTATCCTTGTCATAAACTCCAACCAAAAAATACTGTCCTATCACATGAATGAGAACTTCTCTCGCATTTGTGATTATTATTATCTTTGTCATATATTTATATCACCCTCATTTACATAAGAAAAAATATAATCACAAAAGAAATATGGTCCTATCACGTGAATGAGGACTTTTATCGTTTTTGTGATTATTATTATTATTGTCATATATTTATATCACCCTCATTTTCATAATCCCGACAAAAGAAATATGGTCCTATCACGCGAATGACAACTTCTATCGTCTATGTGATTATTATTATTCTTGTCATGAACTCCAACCAAAAACTACTGTCCTATCACATGAATGAGAACTTCTCTCGCATTTGTGATAATTAGTATCTTTGTCATAAACTCCAACCAAAAACTACTGTCCTATCACGTGAATGAGAACTTCTCTCGCATTTGTGACAATTATTATCTTTGTCATATATTTATATCTTCTCATTATTTTGAATAACCCCGACAAAAGAAATATGGTCCTATCACACGAATGAGAGCTCTTATCGTCTTTGTGATTATTATTATTCTTGTCATAAAATCCAACCAAAAACTACTATCCTTTCACATGAATGAGAACTTCTCTCGCATTTGTGATAATTAGTATCTTTGTCATGTATTTATATCACCCTCATTTACATAACCCCGACAAAAGAAATATGGTCATATCACGCGAATGAGAACTTCTATCGTCTTTGTGATTATTATTATTGTTGTCATATATTTATATCACCCTCATTTACATAAGAAAATAAATAATAACAAAAGAAATATGGTCCTATCACGCGAATGAGGACTTTTATCGTTTTTGTGATTATTATTATTGTTGTCATATATTTATATCACCCTCATTTACATAAAACCCGACAAAAGAAATATTGTCCTACCACGCGAATGAGAACTTCTATCGTCTTTTGTGGTTATTATTATTCTTGTCATAAACTCCAACCAAAAACTACTGTCCTATCACATGAATGAGAACTTCTCTTGCTTTTGTGATAATTATTATCTTTGTCATAGTTATATTACCCTTATTTACATAACCCCGACAAAAGAAATATGGTCCTATCACGCGAATGACAACTTCTATCGTCTTTGTGACGTATTATTATTCTTGTCATAAACTCCAACAAAAAACTACTGTCCTATCACGTGAATGAGAACTTCTCTTGCTCTTGTTATAATTAATATCTTTGTCATAATTACATTACCCTCATTTACATAACCCCGACATAAGTCCTATCACGCGAATGAGAACTTCTATCGTCTTTATGATTATTATTATTCTTGTCATAAACTCCAACCAAAAACTACTGTCCTATTACGTGAATGAGAAGTTCTCTCGTTATTGTGATTACTATTATATTTGTCATATTTATATCATCCTCATCTACATAACCCTAAAAAAAAATATATGGTCCTATATCACTCGAATGAGAACTTCTAGAGAGAGAGAGACAAAGTTGGAGCGAAAGAAAGAGAGAGAGAGGTGTGTGGATAAAGAAAGAGAGACAGTCATCAGACAGACGGTCACAGACAGACAGAGAGAGAGACTAACAAGTGATATGGATATAGAAATATGTAGAAAGGGATAAACGAGGTGATGCGATGAGAGGGAGAGAGAGAGAGAGAGAGACAGAGACAGATTATATACAATATACATCAAAAGAGAAATAAATAGAGAAAGGGTAGAATGGTATGGGGTACTGAGAAATAAAGAGTGAGGGAAAGAAAATGGGAGAAATAAAGATAGCGAGAGAGAAGAGAGAGAGAGAGAGAGAGAGAAAGGAGAGAAGGGATAGAGAGGGATACAAAAGAGAGGGGGGAGATGAGAGGGATATAGAAGCGACAGAGAGAGAGAGAGAGAGAGAGAGGGTGAGAGAGAATATCAAGTGAGAGTGTTATCAATGCAGTTGGTGCATGGTTATGAGACGGAGGCGAAGAATATAATTCAATTATACGGAAAGAGAGAGGTTAGCCCAAACACGTGTAGCAATTACTGACCTCTACCAGAGGTCATTAGGCTAAATAAACAAGCGTAGGCCTACCGTACCCGTAAACTCACAAAGGGATTATCTCAAAATAAGAATGTGCAGTATATACACATAATCGACTGTTCGGGAAAACGTCGTCAACCTTATTATTGATTTATCTTCGTTTGTAAGATTAAACGTATCTTCTTTATTTTTAATAAAGAAATGCAAAACAAATAATGTTACGTTCTGTATATAAATGATTACCCAAACTGTCCCCGTACAACGACTTTGGGGAGTATTTTGAGATTATCCCTAAAAAAAATGTGCTCGGAAATTCTTCTGGCCAATCCGGCCCTACACACATAGACTAATACACGTACACGCGTAACATGTACTATACGTACACAGGGATCAATGCACAGGGATCAATGCCAGATCTTTGCAGTTCATCACGGCCAATTGACTTGACCAAAATACAGGCAATATGTGCGTTCGTTCACAGAGCTGGCGAACAACAATATTATCAAAGTCGAGCAATAACAAATGCATTTCAAAGTTGAAAACACAGAAACGATTAAGAGAGGGAAATGGAAAAATGAGTTGAAGAGAACAACACAGGATATTCCGGTCCGCGCAGGAAATTCATAGATAAACGTACGTAAGTACAGTAAAGATGGTGACGGTCCGATCGATTATAAAATTATATATTGCGATTACAGTGTACAGACAAGTATATTTTTCTTCAAATTTAGGAGACAGTATAAAAATCTTACACTAAGGCAACTCGACTTTAAAATAATTATCTTCATGATTATATATATTGTTTAAGTCTGGTAATATGATTGGGTGTCAAAACATGTTAATTATTACACTTTGACAATAGTGCTATGTATGTGTTATGCTGTTCAGATGACATATAAATTTTCGAACTGAGAGGGAGCTATACCAAATTTACCGGGAGTACCGGTAAATTTTTTTATTTTTTAAAATTTTAATAACTCCAAATCAAAAGCTTTTTAGAGCCCAATTTTTTTAGAGTTGGGTGTTCTAACACTATATTTCACAATAGTAATGCAAATTTTAAATTTCATGATCCAATCCTGATGAAATATTCCCAAAACTTTGTAATACCTTTAATCATCAAATCATCCCTCTCTGTCTGTCTCTCTCTCTCTCTTTTATTTATTTTTCTCTTTCCTTATTTCCTGTTCAACTTGACTTTCACTTTTCTTTCTTTATTTCTTTGTTGTTTCCTTTGATTTTCTCTTTCTAAAATTCTTTTGTTTGTTTCTCTCTGTCTCAATCTCTCTCTGTGTGCCATCTATCTCCAAATTCATCATCATCATCATCAAATCTCATCATTCTCTCTCTCTCTCTCTCTCTCTCTCAAGTTTTTTTTTGCACTCATCCTTTCTCTTTTTTCTCCTTTTTGCTTCTTTGTTATGATCTTTTCCCCTTTTGTATCGTCTTCATCTTCACTTCCCTCTTTCCTTCACTTTTTCTTTTACTCTGATAGATCGGATGTAGGCCTACCGGTAATTGGTTCAGAAGATAAATGTACCGGTATTTACATGTATATGTTAATCTTCATTTATGATGTTTATTTGCCCTGATTCAACATAAAAATATAATATTTGGAATACAGTTTTGTTTTATTGTACACAGTTTCAATTCAGCATACTTAAACTTTTAATAGCCTGATTTACCGTGACAAATATTCAAACATGAGTTCATGAAGCAATAAAGGTTTGAATCAACCCACCTTTGTACCATTTGTGCAAACAAACTCTCAAAACTACCTTTTGATACTCTTGACATAATGTGCCCCTGTATACAGGATCATTACTCAACTACATGTACATGTATCAAGCATATTGGTTTTCTTGAGATGTTGACAAAAAAACCCTTTCAATAGTTTATGGTAGTGCATGGACTATTACACTATTTATTATATTTTTGTAGGCCTAATTGACCTTTTTAGCTTTTATTGTATCCCCCCCCCCCCGGCAGTATGGCAGAGGATACTTTGGATTCACCAGTGTCTTGCCACTGGTGCCACCGCATCTACTGCCGCGTCATATTTTTGTGTGCGCTCTAACTGCCACATTCCTTGACAGATTTTAATGGATCGAGATTGCGATATTTCTAGGTAGATTTTATTCTTATCTTCTATTTAGGTTGATATAGTTCAAGAATTGAATGCTTATACTCATTCTTGTTGAATCTCTTTCCAAATATATTTTGTAAGTTAATTCCTTCTGTCTGTTTGCTCTCTCATCCTGTCCCTCCTCTCTCTCATCCTATCCCCTCTCTCTCTGTGTCTGTACTCCTTCTCTCTCTCTCTCTCTCTCTCCCTACTCTCTGTTTCGCTGGCTGTCTGTCTCTCTGTCGATCCCTCCCTCTCCTAATATGAGTCAATGTTAATGATTCTCCCCATTTGATATCATTGTTTTTTTATTTCTTTTTTCTTTATCTACCAGACGAGAGAAAGATGTGGTCCCTCCTGGTCCATCAAAATGTTGGAATCTCATATTGGATATAACTAAGAATCACCATAGGCAACACACAACATTAAGTCAAGTCTTCTCCTACAACATGGCCATGAAGTTTGGATTAATGCGAGATGAACTGGACAATGTGTATAGGAAGGTAAGGTTTCTCCATTAAATTCCTGGAAACGTGATAATCATGTAAAGCTTTAACAATAATAATAATAATAATATTGGATATTTATATAGCGCACATATCCACCATACATGGTGCTCAAGGTGCTCCAACTATTACCCCGGCTCTGCTAGGCAGCTGATTTTGGCGCTCACAGCATTCAAGGAATTCCTTCCTACCGTTACCCACCTGGGTGGAGAGTGGCAAATGTAGATTAATATCTTGCCAAAGGACATTAGTGCCCCGGCGGGACTCAAACCGCGGACCCTGTGATCCACAGTCCGACGACTTATCCACTAGACCACAACACCTCCATAATGTACCCACCTTACGGGCAGATGTACAGTATTTGCACATGACAAGAGAAATATTGAAGAAATCAAAGAAACCTCATTAACATTTCCGTGATCAAACCAAGAGCAGTGACTTTCAAAGAACTCGAAAGGAGTTGTTCATGAAAAGTCTCTATGACAGCTCCAATAATTAGCTGTCTGCCAGTGTCTGGACATATTGTGGGCCATTTCTTTTTATTGCAGAATTGGTATCTTGTGAAAACAATACAGACAATTTATGTCACATGAGAAATCCTCACTTTTCAAAGGTGTGTCCAACCCAGGAACAACAGATGCATTAAAAAATAATTGTCAATTTCATTATCAAAATCAAATCAAAATCATCAGTCGATATGAATGGATTACAAAATTGGTGTGTTATGAGACTACAGTATTAGGATCCATCAAATTGGGAATCAAATCAGCTGAGAAATTGGTGTAGAGAGGTGAAGCTACATTTGGTTGGCTTCCCCACGATAAGGCTGTAAGAGCCATGTGTTGTCAATGGTAGTAAAGGCCTTCTTGCGGGAAGCCAATCATTTACCCTGTCTGTCCCCTGACATTTGCTGTGGGATTTATTCTGTCAAAGGAGTCCTGTCCTCATCAGCTTGAGTTTGCCAAATAGCCCGCTATTTTGTGATTCAGGGAATTAGCTCAAAGTTACAAATCGCATCTTCATCAGCTAGAAACTCGAGCTTGAGAAATTAGCTTGAGAAATTAGCTTGAGAAATTTGCTCAGTGTTCACGCAAAGTGCGACTCTTAGGGCTGGCGAAGACGGACCACAAATAGCGGGCTATTTGCAAACTAGCCCAAGACCCCGTTCTCACTCACTTTGAAAGTGGTCTTAGTTAGACCGCTCCAGAGGAACGGGTCTTGAGGAACGGTTTGCGAGGGTTCACACTCCGAGCAGTTTTTTATGGCTCAAACCGCTCAACGAGTCAAAGTGGTCTTGTTGCTATGGCAGCTCAGGTCAGCAGGTCAATTTTTTCGCTCGCGGAATACAAACCGTATGTTCCGTACTACATGTTTCGCACGGAACGTCACTAGCTCACTTCCGGTCAAAGTACGCTTCCGTTCACATTGCACGTTAGAGCGGTCCAAACCGCTCTTAATAAGACCCGTTCCTCAAGACCACCTCCCGAGGTGGTCTTCTGGAGCGGTCCAGAAGTCCACTTCCTGGACTACTTTGACCGTTCTCACTCACCTAAGAACTGCTCCTGAGGAACGGGTCTTAGTTAGACCGCTCCAACGAAGTGAATGAGAACGGGGTCCAAGATATCTTGGGAAGATTTCCTGAACGAATAGCCTGCTATTTGCTACTTCACCTGCCAAATAGCCTGCTATTTTGGGATGGGGCTAATTTCAAGAATCTGTAATAGCAAGCTATTTGGCAAACTCGAGCTGATGAAGCAGGCTTATAGAGATAGGAGTAGGGCTTGTGTTGGGATTGGGTTGTAGGTAAGGTTTAAGGATGAGGTAAAGTTTCAGATCCATTGTTCGAGTTACAAATTGTACTCATGTCAGAGATGGAACAAGGAACAGTTGTTTGCCCGAGCATACATGTATGTCAAACGGTCGACAGTGGTCCGGTAACATCCCAGCCAGGCCCCTTGCTAACTCTCTCTCGTTAAAAGACTTGCAATGCTAGCTCACCCAGGTTTTATTTGACAGTTTGTGTAAGCAGTGTTCACCCTGATTAGAGAGGTTGACATTTCGTGAGGTGCTTTAGGGTCTCAGAGGCGCACATAAGCTGCAATGATTGCTTGTTTTTCTTCTCTTCCGTAGCAGAATATCAGTTATACCCGCATTGTACAACATGTATATCTAGGTGTACATTGTGGTCATGTTGCTCCAAATAACATCATGTTTTTTAAAATACATACTAGTTTATTTCAAGGAGATTTAGATATTTCTATTTCATCTTTAGACATAATCCTGAACTGAGATAGACACTAAAAGTGGTAAAAGGGGTGTGCAGTTGGGATTGCATTCAGCATCATCATGTATTTTGGTTGTAGAAAACCACCAATATCACAATTATCATTATCACTCTTCATGTAGGCACAAATAAATATGTATACTGCAAACACGTTCATACACTTGCAGACGAGAGTAGAATCTATAAATTATCTTTGAATGTGACCAACCACCTCTGTATCATCGTTATCCATCCAGGGCCTCCATTCCATTTCAGACAATGATTTACTAGCTGGTGATTTACAGACTCCATAAATTTTCGGGCATAAAATTCTACCCGGCTCCCTTCTACTTCACAGTTGCACACCCAGTCATAGCCAGCATTGCTATTAGCAGATGGTGCTATCCATTATATGCTTTGCAATGAAATGGGTGAATTGTTTACTTTACATCAAATCCAACTAGTATTTCTCATCTAAACTAAATCAAAAACAGTCCATTTGGTAAGCCTGGCAAATAACTACTCAGATCAGAATACACCGTGACAAAGTTGAAATTCTGCATAAAATGCACGAGCCTCTTTACTTGGAAACACTAACTCCCCAGAGCGATGTATTGAATACTGTACACTCTCAATGCTGCCTTTGTGCAATTACAGGATGTTTGTATCATTTTAGCTTTATGCCAAAACATATACAAAAGAAGTTTGTCTCAAGTGTAGGCCTATGTGATTAGGAAACTAGATTATATACTTTTGTACACCTCCTCGTTAAATAACTATTTGTGTTAGGTTTTAAAAGCCTATACCCACTATTTGTAAGCCTCTGCAACTCATGAAAGACTGCTTTTGATACCCAATAACCTCTTATTTTATTGATGCACTTGCTATTTCGGTACATGGGCCTTTAATTCTGAACATTTTTGCTGGTCCAAGCAAATTATTTTACCGAAGGATAATGAGGAGACTTTTGAAAATTAAAAACAAAAACATTTTTAATGGCCTGCAGTCCTTGCCACCATGCAAAAATAAAATTTTGGAATATTGAGTTCTTTAATGAAAGAAAACAAATTCATAACAACAATAATCATAAGATATGAGATTTGTTAGTCGCCAAATCCACTTAAAATCAAACGCTCAAGGCGTACTTTCTACAAAATGAAACAAAATCTGCAATCAATGTTCAAGACTGTAAAAGCCATACCGGTACATGCAACTGATATCTGCCTTATGATATTGGAAAAAACCCTGAATGATGAGCAAAAAAACAAACAAAACCCCAAAACAAAAAGTAAAACAGAAGAAGAGGAAAGGTACATGAAGTCTTGCTTTCCATAGGAAATTAAGCCAGTCATCCTGACTTATTAGGGACTTTTTGCACAACGACAACATGGATTGCTACGATCGCCGTCGTTTTAATGCACTGCCTTGAATGGACGTCACATGTATCAGTCCACGCAAATCTAAAAGTCCCTATTGTAAAATATAAGGTTAAAGGTGAAGACCAGTTATGGTCATGCGATTGCATTGTGAAAGAAACGTTGTGGAAACTATCAGAAAATGTTGATCATCTAGCATATAAGTATTGGTGTGTACTGCAAGGTTCTGGAATCATCAAAATGATAAGAAATTTTGCCCAGTCTTCTTAAAGTTACAAGCACTGTACACAGAAAGATGTATATGGGACTACATGCACACGTGCGCGACATGTGCGTTTATCTCTCACAGACCATGTAGATAAACTAATTCACCAAATATATCAATTAGTAGGCGGTTTCCCGGCAAAATTTTTATCATCATGTATTAGTCAAAACATACTCTTTCACATGGTTGGTAAATGGTAATAAGAGCTTCCATTTCATTTTTTGAAATTGGGGCGTTTCCAATACTGGTCTTAACCTTTAACTCAAATTCTCTAAAATATTGTATATATATATATATATATATCGGCCTATGAACAGCATATTTTAGTTGAGCTTTTCAGTAAATGTGATTTCTAGCACGTTTACATTAGTCTGTTTGTCTGAACATCAGTAATTCATCTATTGCATGATATACAGTTTGGAATTTCTATGAGCTTTTCTTGACATTTCTCTCAAAATAGAAATAAAGCTTGGAACAAATATCAAGTCACCTGTAACTACGTGTACATGTAGTGGGGTAATTTTAAAGGAATAAAATACCAACCCTTAAGGCTTTAAACTTCCTTTGCCTTACTTTTTGGACTGAGTTTTATAATACATATTTCAAATATTGTTGAATAGGGCTTTTCATTCTTCTGCATTCTGCAAGGCAGCTCTCCAAAGGGTCTAGATACCAGACTGCATTCAGAAGTTCAAAGAAAAGTTTGCTACAAGTTTTTACAGAGTTGCAGTTGGTAGCAAGCTTTGATAAACGCCCCAGAACTCATTGATTTTTATCAGGTTTACGTGTAGGAAGTAAGAGAGGAAACCAGGAAACCTTGAGAATAACATTCCACTATTTTCTTAGGGTCCAGTTCATGTTGGTCTTGCTCTTGTTTTGGAAAGACAGGATTTTTCGTTGTTGGTCCTTCCTCATTTGATTCCGAAGTGCCTCAACGTTAAAGGCACAATTTCTATTTTGAATAGTTGCACATATTATATGAACAAAGAAGTTTGCATTGTGCATGCATAATGTATTCAGTTTATATACAGTGCAGTATACATTTAAAAAAAAAAGTTGTTTTCATTTTATTTGACATATCTGGGACTATGAA